TCCCTGCACGGAGCCTGCTTCTCCCTCTGCCTGTTTCTGTTCCTCTCTCTGTGTCTCTCATGAATAAATAAATTAAATCTTAAAAAAAAAAACTACTGGTAATAGTTTTAGTATTTGTGGTGGTGTTATTATTGTCAGCATCAATATTGTTACAGAGCCCCAATCTGGCATCAAACAGACCTCAACTATTCTCTATTTCCTTCTATACCTGAAAGTAATTTATCTCTGCTAATGGAGGAACCGTTGTACACATGGGCTGGAAAAAGGAAGAAATGACATAAGGGCAAGAAGTGACATAACAGAGTCTAGAATGGTGGGAAGGGGAGAGGAGAAAAGATGGGATCTGAGGGGTGTTCCCACTAAAGGCATCAATGAGGTGCAAGGGAGCTTGACACAGAAGTGAAGGTTTCTGCGCCCAGGACAACTTGGTATCTACACCATTAATGGTTAAATCCCTTTGTGGAGAATAACTCAAAGATGTTGAAGGGTGAATTAATTAAAAAACAAAAACAACAAAACAAATAGTGATGCATTTAATGGTGTGAATTAGGCGTGTCAAGGGTGCCTGGGTGGCTGAGTGGTTGAGCATCTAGTCCCAGGGTCCTGGGATCAAGTTCTGCTTTGGCTCCCCACAGGAAGCCTGCTTCTCCCTCTGCCTCTGTCTCTACCTCTCTCTTTCTGCCTCTCATGAATCAATAAATGAAATCTTTTTTTTTAAATTAGGCCTGTCCAAAAAAAATAAAAATAACAATTAGACCTGTCAAATTCTAGCACCTACAGAGACAATGTAGATAATGTAGATGCATAACTAGAGTGGGGTGGGGTACAATTGGGGCTGATGGGGTCTGTGAAAAACTAGAGAGCAGGGATTCCATTAAAGAGAGACAAGCTTCTCAGCCTCAACAGATTTTAACAGAATGAGAATAAGAGTCTATGTTGACAGATTCTCTCATTTTTAAGGAAAGCCAGAAATCTGTATTTTCTTCCAAATTTGGAATTAAAAAGTTGGCTATTGATTCAAATTTTTGGAAAGTAGGGTGGGTCATATAAAACTGATATGGGGGTGCCTAGGTGGCCTAGTGGAGCATCTGCCTTTGGCTCAGATGATGATCCTGGGGTCCTGGGATCAAGCCCCATGTCGGGCTCCTTGCTCCGTGGGGAGTCTGCTTCTCTCTTCCCCCACCCCTGACTTCGGCTCATGCTCTCTCTCACTTTCTCTCAAAGAAAAAAACAAATAATCTGAAGTCTAATTTCCTGTGTGTAGGCTTGCAGCTGGTGGCCTCTGACCTAAGCAATTCCCTCCAACTAACAATGGATAGTCCCCAAGATATTGTTCAAGGTCCTTCTATCACCGCACGCTGCCCTATGTTCTCACTGACTTAACACACCAATCGTTCAGTGTGGGCACTCACAGATGAAGGGAGGTGCCATTGTGAGGCGCTGGGGGCAGGGTCTCCTGGAGAGGCCAAATTTGGAGTTCAGGTTGACTACCAGTTAAAGGGTTTTTCACATCCTGGGTCACCTTCAGGTCCCTGCCAGTCCTGCCCTCAAGTTCACATGTTCTTTTTTTCTTTTTGAAATTTTAAAAATTTATTTACTCATGAGAGACACCAAGAGAGAGGCAGAGACATAGGCAGAAGGAGAAGCAGGCTCCCCATGGGGAGCCCAATACAAGACTCAATCCCAGGACCCCAGGATCACGACCTGAGCTAAAGGCAGACACTCAACTACTGAGCCAACCAGGTGCCCGATGTTCACACATTCTACTTGTATATTCTGCTCCCAAGATAACTCAGAGAGTTGGAGAGGTGTCTTTGAAATTTAAGAGAGAGGGCAGCCTGGGTGCTCATGGTTTAGTGCTGCCTTTAGCCCAGGGTGTGATCTTGGAGTCCTGGGATCGAGTCCCATGTCGGGCTCCCTGCATGGAGCCTGCTTTTCCCTTTGCCTGTGTCTCTGCCTCTCTCTCTCTGTGTCTCTCATGAATATGTAAATAAAATCTTTTTTTTAAAGAGAGAGAGCGAGAGAGAGAAATTTCATAATAAATACTAGCCCAACATTGTGCCTACATAATATAATATAATCATGGCCACAACAATTACAAGGTGTGAAAAAGACAAAGCAAATGTTGCCTGCAGTAAATACTTGGAAGTCTTTCTGTATTAAAGAAGCTGCATTTTGGATACAAGTTGCAGAAAATCCAAGTCAGATCAGCTTAAAGCAATCTAGACTATATGCAGATTATATAAATTACAAATCAATAAGGAAAAGTGACAATCCCATTATTAAAAAAAAAAGTGAAAGACTTTAATAGACTCTTCACAAAGTATCCAAACGGCCAATATGCCCCTGAAAAAAGTATCCTCAATGTCACTGGCCATCAGGAACATTCAAATTAAGAACACAATGAGGGGATCCCTGGGTGGCGCAGCGGTTTAGCGCCTGCCTTTGGCCCAGGGCGCGATCCTGGAGACCAGGGATCGAATCCCACATCGGGCTCCTGGTGCATGGAGCCTGCTTCTCCCTCTGCCTGTGTCTCTGCCTCTCTCTCTCTCTGTCTGTGTGACTATCATAAATAAATAAATAAATAAATAAATAAATAAATAAATAAATAATTACACAATGAGATTCCACTCAGGAGACACCACAGGGAGAGACACACACCCAAGTTGCCAAAGTGGAAAATTCTGACAATAGCTAGTGATAGTGAGGATGTGAAGGACCTTGAACTCTCAAGTACTGCTAGGGGAGTGTAAAATTATACAACTACTTTGAGAAACTGGGAGTATCTACTAGCTTAACATCTGATGAGGCTTATAACCAACAGATACGTACAAATATGTTGACCACGAACCAGACAGTTGGGGTGTCTGGGTGGCTCAGTGGTTAAGCGTCTGCCTTCAGCTCAGGTCGTGATCCCAGGGTCCTGGGATCGAGTTCTGAGTCAGGCTCCCTGCAGGGAGCCTGCTTCTCCCTCTGCCTATGTCTCTGCATTTCTCTGTGTCTCTCATGAATAAATAAATAAAATCTTAATAATAAAAAAAAAGAACCACAGAGCGATTCCATTTATGTAGAATACAAAACCAGAAAAGATGAATTTATGCTAGTGAAACTCAGGGATGTGACTACCCTTGACAGGATATAGTGACTTGAAGAAAGCAGAGAACATCCTTCCGGGGATGCTGATGACATTCATTTATTGGATTTGGGTGCTGGTTATACAATGTGTTCAGTTTCTAGATTTTCCTTTATAACCTGTACACTTCTCATTATAAATGCATTTCACTTAAAAAGTTAAAAATAAGGTTTCAAAGGGATCGGCTTCAGGGATGGTTTGATCCAGAAGTCTGTGAAGACATCGGGACAATGGTTTAGTTTCTCTGTGATTCCCGCTGCTCTGCTTTCCTCTGGATGTGGAATTCATCCTCAGAACGGCTTCTCTCACGGTTTCAAGATGACTTCTTGCACCTCCCATATTGGTTCTTTCACACCTATTGGGAGGAGCAAAATCCTCCTCATAACTAGTCTCAAAGCTCCAGAGCTTCATTTTAATTGCACTGAGTTCGGGTATCCAGCCCTTAGCCAATCCCGGTGAGCAGGGAGAGACAGCACACTGACTGGCTTAGGCCTGGGTTACCTGGGTGACCATTTCTGAACCAATCACTGTGGCAAGGGGGTGGGGTTATGCTAATTAGTTCAAGCCATTCATCGCCCAACTCTTGAGTTTGGGAATTTGGAGGATGTCGATCTAATTCAAACTTTCTGGCTTTTGCTACTGGGACAGAAAGGGGGAGAAATGGACATTGTGAAGGTGGCCCGACATGCGGGGCACTTCTTTTTTCTTTTTGAAAATAGCTCTGAGGGGATCCCTGGGTGGCTCAGTGGTTTAGCGCCAGCCTTTGGCCCAGGGCGCGATCCTGGAGTCCGGGTATCGAGTCCCACATCGGGCTCCTGGCATGGAGCCTGCTTCTCCCTCCTCCTGTGTGTCTGCCTCTCTCTTTGTGTGTGTCTATCTCTATCATAAAAAAAAAAATAAATAAATAAATAAATAAATAAATAAATAAATAAATAAATAAATCTTTAAAAAAAATAAATGAAAATCGCTCTGAAACAATCACAAACTTACAGGAAAGTTGCAAGTACAGAACAAAGAACTTTTTTCCCTCCTGAACCATTTTGGGAGAAAATTGCCAGTATGGTGCCCTGCATGCTGTAGTGGGTGTGACCTACAAACAAGGACATTCCAAGGGAAAGAGACTCTTGTTCCTTTTGATTTGTAAGTTTTCTGTGAGACAACGTATAGCCCACACTCCTCCACCGAACTTTCCATTTATTAACTTTTTTATAACTACACAGACTCATGGATTCTTATTTTATCAAGGGGTTTATTATCTCATTTTGAAAGATTTTATTTATGTATTTATTTATTTATTTATAAGAGACACAGAGAGAGAGGCTTAGACATAGGCAGAGGGAGAGGCAGGCTCCCCACAGGAAGCCCCATCTGGGGCTGGATCCCAGGACCCTGGGATCATGACCTGAGCCAAAGGCAAATGCTCAGCTGCTGAGCCACCCAGGTGTCCCTATGATCTCATTTTTAATATTGATGCTAAAATTGTCCCCGATTTGGCCAGTGGGAGTCCTTCAAGCTAGCTCTCTGTACTTCCACCTGTTCTCATCATTCTTGGAGCATTTCCTTACCTTCTGACCCAGAAAAAGATGCTCCAGGCTCTTCTTGCATCTTCTCTGTCTCCTCTCCCCTGGAATCAGCCCTTTTCTCAAAGGAGGAAGGAGGGTGCTTTCGAAGGCAGATGGCTGACCCCTCACCCCTGAGTGACCCCCCTGGACTCTGATTTCAATGCGGCTGGCCCCAGCCAATGGCAGAGGGGATGCTCCAGCGGTTGCCATGGAGACTTCAGGGCCGAAGAGCGGAAGGAGGCGGTGACGTCACTGCGGGAGCAAGTGCAGCAGCCACATCCTTGTCTTAGCAGGGCCACAGGGCACCGAAGGCAACCTCCGGCCCAACCGCCAGAGACCAGCCACCCTGCTTTCTGGGCCCTCACCCACGAGACCCGGTGGCAGCAGCCCCAGGGAGGTCCCCTGTCCCAGATCTGCTGAGATTGCCAGGACGGGTGAGCCCTTGGAGACCATTGCCAAGAGAGGCGAAGTGCATCTTCAGACCCTCCTTGGTGCGGCCTTGCCTCGACTCGGGACCCACGCCAGCCAGCTGGCAGAGAACACCTCTATCTCCTGCCGTGTTAGTCCCTGGAAATTCCCAAGAGCCCTCTCGGGAGAAGGTGACAGAAATCTGGACGCTGCAGCCCTGAGGGCAGGGCCAGGAGCATCCCTGACTGGAGTCTGGACAGACCGGCCGAGAGGCCTCTCTCCTCCTTAGCCTTCAGGAAGGATCGTGGCATCCTGGATCATTCCCTGGATTCCCGAGGCAGCTCGGGTGTGCACCAGCGGGCATACTGCTGCCTCCGGGAGCTGGGCAAGATGCTCTTTGGGGTGAAGGACATTGCTCTGTTGGAGCACGGCTGCAAGGCCCTGGAAGTGGACAGTTACAAGTCCCTGATGATCCTGGGCATCCCAGAGGACTGCGACCATGAGGAATTCGAGGAGATCATCCGCGTGCCCCTGAAGCCCCTGGGCAAGTTCGAAGTGGCCGGGAAGGCCTTCCTGGAAGAAGAGCGGACCAAGGCAGCCATCATTCGGCTGGAGGAGGACATCAATTACGCCGCGATCCCCAAGGAGGTCAAGGGCAAGGGCGGCATGTGGAGGGTGGTCTACATGCCCCGGAAGCAGGACATTGAGTTCCTGACCAAGCTGAACCTCTTCCTGCAGAGCGAGGGCAGGACGGTGGAGGACGTGGCCCGGGTCCTGCGGCAGGAGCTGTGCCCCACGGTGACGGGCCCCAGAGAGCCACCTGCCAGGAAGTGCCGGGCGCCCGGGCCCGGGGAGAAGCCAGGGGCTGGGGCCACCGCAGGCGCGGGCGCGGTCGGGGCGCCACCTCCGGACCCCGCGGAGAAGCAGAGCAAGGCTGGAGACGACAAGAGAGGCAAGCGGAAGCACAAGAAAAACCGTCGGCGACACCATGCCTCTGACAAGAAGCTGTGAGGTGAGGTGGGGAGGGCGCGAGGGGCAGCGGGGCGAGGGGCGGTGGCGGCCGAGTGAGCAGGGGGGCATTTCCACCCGAGTGAATAACTTGTGGGTAACATCTGAGTGAGGTGGGGAACGTCTGGGTGAGCGTGGGCCATTCAGTCATTCCACAGACATCTACTGTGCACCTGCTATGTCCCAGGCACTGTTCCAGGAGCGGGGAGCCGGGTGCAAACCCAACCCAGAAACACAGACCCTGCCTTCACGGCGCTGGTGGAGTCTGGGGAACCCGGGAGTTACTGGGGTACATCTGGGCGTGGGTTCCATTTGAGGAGACAGAGGCAACATCTGGTTGAGTATGGATCACTCCGCCATTCACCAAACGTTTTCTGATAGCCCCTAGTGTATACCAGACGCTGTCCCAGGCTCTGGGCAGGGAGTAGAGAGACCCAGGCCTTGGCCTCCTGGCACTCGTATTAATACCTGAGTAGGTGCGGGTACATCTGAGTTACTTGAATACTTGAATGAGCATCGTGCTGTTTGAGTGCGTGGGTAGCATCTGAGTTTGAACCCAACGTATGAGTCAGAGCAGGTAATATTTGAGTAGTTGTGGGTAACCTGTAACTGTGGGAGTGACACCTGGGTATGTGTGTGAGTGTCGTCTGAGTGGGCAAGAGTGAAGACCCGGCAAACGACGTCTAACAACTGGGAGACCCCAAGGGAGGAGCCGGGAGGTGGCTCGCAGTCTTAGCGAGAAGCACATCAGCATCATCATCACCATCATCGCACTGTGACCATGGAGATCGCAGGCTTCCCCACCCCCACCTCCTTGCATGAGCAGGTGTTGGCAGGAAACCACAAGAGGAGAAACGGGGTCCCGGATTTCAAGGGTTTGCAGAAGGTCTCTTGCCAGAGTTGAGGAAAAGCCAAGCAGGAGGAACATGGGGAAATCCGCTGCTGGAGAAAAGCCACTTATCTCCTTAACCATCACCTGCCCTCCTGTCCCCTCAGGCCTGATGACGGGGACAGCCCCTTTTGCTGAGTACCTGATACCAGGAAGACACACAGACTTTTAGCTTTGGGCCTTGCTGGAAATCCTGCTATTGCGAAGTCTAAACACCGCCCCCCACCCTTTTTTTTTATCTTTTAAAAGGATGGACTTTGAATGCACCTCTGGTGCAAACTCATCCAGAGTGGGCCACCCTGTTTCGCACGTGGCAAGCAGAAGCCATGCCTGACAAAGTGAGTTGCCTGCTTGCCACACCTGAGAAGCTCAGTGCTCTGTGTCCTACTCTGTCAAGAGCTGTCACTGTTCTGTACACACTCAGTCTCCCTTACAAGGACAAGGGATGGTCAGACATGAGACTCTTCTGCTCTGATTGGCACATGGGGTTAGGATATGGGTCTCCCCAAATTCAACTCCAGAAGCTCTGACTTGTGCAGAGGGGGCTCCCCACTCTAAAGAACAGAAGGCAAGACCTTCAGGAAATAGTCCAAAAGGAGGTAAATAATTAAGAGGTCACCTACAAGAGTTACCCGTTAACAACATTAACTTTGGAGTCTCCCGTGATGGTGGAGAAAAAAAAAAAAAAAACAGGCAAAAAAATGAATCAGGTAAAATCGAAGTGTCCGTGGGTAGACAGAGCTCTATTTCAGGGAGATCCGATTTGTGATTTTGCAAAATTCCATTAGTTCAGGGATTTGCAAAGGTTTGAGTTGAAGTTCTTTTGTTTTGTTTTGTTTTGTTTTGTTTTAATACAATTTACACACACACACCCCCAGAGGCTCAGATTCCTACCTACCAAACCGTAAGAGTGGAGACCCCCAATGTATTACTGTAGTGGGCATCGGTCACTTTTGTGACTTCCAGCATCCAAGCCCTATTCTTATTTCTGTGAAGCTGCCCCTTGGGGCCCCCCTAACAGAGCCTAAAAGTGGAGATTCTCTCTCTACCCACCCCTTCACCTTGGCAATCAGGGTACAGGCAAGGGATCCACCCTCAGGAGGTCAGAAATTCCTCCTAGGCCCCTGCATTCCCAGCAATGGTCAAGACAGAAGGGATTTTTAAGAGTTCCCTTGCTTTGACAACCTAAAATCTGGAAGACTGATTTCTGTGAACTCCCCCAGCTGGCTCTGAATCATCGCCTCAACCATCTTTTCTCCTGTGCAATGGTTGGGATCCAGCTTTTCCTGCCCTCCCCACACATATATTTACTCTTCTTCAAGTGCATCTGTGGTCTAGAAGTTTGTAGTCCTCTCTTGATCCTTTTCGCCCTTGTAACTTTCCAGCCTGGGCAAATGCACTCACGGTGTGTATTGTGCTACTGTGTTCACTCTTTCCTCAGAGTTCGGGCTTGAATAAGACCTCAGGCACATTTGCTTGTTGCATGCTGTTCTCCCACCAAGGCACAGTCATTGTATCGTGACAAGGGACAGCGTGACGTTCCTTATAGTCTTATTGAAGTATCAAGACTGTATTTGTGCTTATTGTGAGTTTCGGGTGTTTCCCCATATAACGTTCATATTTGTGATACACAACGCGAGTGTGTGTCAATGTTCATTGTTGCCCCCAGAACCAAATCTACCAGTTCTCAAGGTTTTCTGGAAGAGTTTCCTAACACAGCAAAGCAAGCAGTTGTGCAAACCTGTTACCATTTGAAATCAGTTATCTGTGTGAGTCGAGACCTGGCTGGCACACAGCAAATCCTACGTGAAAATCCCCCCCCAAAATTGGACGTGCTGGCTGATATAGAAGCCCGCAGCTGGCCTTGGTGAACCCCCATTTCCAAGAGTGGGTTCCTTTATAATTCTTCACTGTTCTTTGTGGTTGATGCTCTATTGTACAAATATGAACTTATAAAATAAATGTATGTTAATGCGATCACAGTATGCTCTTTGATATGTTGGGGGAATCTATGCTAGATCTAATTTAGAAAAATAATCTAGAAGCGCCTGGGTGGCTCAGTTGGTTAAGCATTTGGTTCTCGATTTCGGCTCAGGTCATGATCTCAGGATCATGGGATTGAGCCCCACATTGGGCTGCATGCTCAGTGGGGAGTCTGCTCGAGATTCTCTCTCTCTCTGCCACTCCCCTCACTCACACATGCTCTCTCTAAAATAAATCTTTTTTAAAATGGGGGCCCTTGGGTAGCTCATTCGGTTAAGCATCTGCCTTCGGCTCAGGTCATGATCCCAGGGTCCTGGGATCAAAACCCGTGTCAAGCTCCCTGCTCCCCAGCGGGTCTGCTTCTCCCTCTCCCTCTGCCTGCCACTCCCCCTGCTTGTGCTCCCTCTCCATATCAAATAAATAAAATCTTTCAAAAAATAAATTTAATTAAAAGGGAAAAATAATCTAGCTGCTAAAAAAAAAATTTTTTTAAAAAATGCTTCCATGGGTTGCCTGAAGTTTTCCAGGGCTATATTATCTTTTTTAAAGCAGTGTCATCAGATCTCATGGCCAATAGAACACAAAACACACAACATTCGGCTCCTAGTGACTGATGGAAATGGTGAAATGGTTTATCTGGAATAAGATAATAGCCATTCTGTATTCCAGGCACTGTGCACAGTCTTTCGTACTCATTAATTTGTTATATCTTCCCAACCCCTAAGGTATGACACTATAGGTCCACAACCCCTTATCCAAAATCTTAGAGTCAGACATGCTTCAGAATTCAGAAAGTTTGGGGACTGCTTGGCTGGCTCAGTTGGAAGAGCACGTGACTCTTGATTGGGGTTGTGAGTTTGAGCCTCACATTGAGTATAGAGATTACTTAAATAAACTTAAAAAAAAAAAAAGGAATTGGGAAGCCTGGGTGGCTCAGTGATTAAGCATCTGCCTTCAGCTCAGGTCATGATCCCGGGGTTCTGGGATTGAGGCCCGCATTGGGCTCCCCTCAGGTAGCCTGCTTCTCACTCTGCCTCTGTCTCTGCCTCTCTCTGTGTGTCTCTCATGAATAAATAAATAAAATCTTAAAAAAAAAAAAGAATTCAGAGAGTTTGGGATGTCAGAAAACTGATACAGTGACTATATCTTGTATTGTGTAATTCACCCCATGGCAGATTTGGGCAGTTCCCATATTCAAACCCATTAGTATTCTGTAGGGAAATATAGGATATTGACATTAAGGGAAATAAATGAAGAATATAAATAACCTTATGTAAATCTAGATCGTGCCTCTAAATGCTGTTCCTTGCTTTTATGGAGGGAGGGCGTGATGCAAAGTTTTCTGAGTTTTTTTGGATTTCAAAAGAGGAGATTAGTGACTATGAGCTGTATATTATTACTTCATATCATTCTATGAATAAAGAAAGGTTAAGTGACCTGCCTAAAACAACATAGAAAGGCTCAAAAGGACAGAAGCCTAGGTCTTTCTGAGGACAATCTGTGCTCCTGGCTCAGGACTGGGTCTCTCTGAGGCTCCTTCAACAGTGCTTGCTGAGGGCCAAAAATTCTGAAGGAGGGCTCAGAACCTCCAAGAAGCCAACCTATATGTGATTCCCATGGGCTGGCGCTGGTGATTCCCCATGGGTTCCCCAGATTGCTTCTTTGTGCTTCTCCACCCTGCTCTGCACCCCGGGAGGCCACCTCCATGGACTGGGTTCCAGATTGCCTCCCTGTGCTTCTCCACCCTGCTCTGCTCCCCAGGAGGCCACCTAGGAGCACTGTATACCAAAGCTCCTGTGCCCTAAGACTTCCTTGTTGGGATCACCCAATGGGAGGCAGCGGCAGGAGTCAGAGGACAGGAGGAAAGAGAGGCTGGGGTATTTCTTCCCTGCACTCTGACTACTGGGCTCTCTGCTTTCTGGGGACTGCGGTATCCCTCTACAACGATAAATCAAATTCAATCGGTGTGGTCACTCCTCTGCTTACTCCATCCCCAGATGTTCAAAAGAAAGTTCAACATCTTTATAGCCCAAAGATCCCCACTTGCCTTGGTTCCCCATTTTACAATACTCTAGCCACCCCCAGACATACTCTCCCCCCTCCCCCCCAAAGAACTTTTGTTTCTGTACTGCCTCTGCCTAGGATGCTCTTACAGGACTCCTCTGACTCTTAACCCTCAGGTCTCTTCTTCCAGGAAGCCTTCCAGGCCACCCCAGGATGGATTATTCCCCCTATTTTATCTCCTCATTGCTCCCCTATATTTTTCTGGCTTGATATATCTCTCGATGGTGATTAATTTGTGTAGATTTTAATGCCACTGTGGTTTCTGCAGGAAGGAGTGGATGAGACACAGTAAGCAGACGTGACCGGCTAGTTTGAATAATTTCAGCAGATTTTGGGGTCTAGGGGCTGTCCCTAGTTGTCTGAGACCTGGCCCTGGGGTGAATAGCACAGGTGGATGGTGCCAGAATGGGAAGGTTGCTAAAGGAGGTAGTTGGAGGTGTGGGCTCTGGAGTGGTTGGTTTGCATTTCAAGAACATGCTCAAGGGCAAGTACTGTTTACTTTCTCTAGGAATTGCCTGACCCCAGGAGGGGCAGTCCCTCAAGAGCCAGCCAGGCCCCAGATAGCAAGGCATCAGAATATGGAAAATAAAAAAACACAGTTATTATGGCAATAAATATAGAATGCAGATAAATATCTATGACGTAAATAAGGAAATTGAATCAGAAATTCCTCTAAATTGGCTTTCTCACTAGGCAACCTGCCAGTTAAGGCAGCAGATGCCTCTGCCTGGTGTATGGAGGTTTGGAGATGAAGGCTAGTGTTGGACATATGGCCTGGGTTCAAGTGCTGACTCCTCTCCCTCCCAAAGCATGAGCCTGGGCAAACCACTGAACCTCCTGTGTCTCGGGGTTGCTAATTTGAAAATGGGGATAGTAGTAACCTGTTCAACCAGGTGTGGGGAGGACTATATCCATTCAGACATATAAATGACTTAGCACAATGGCTAAGATGGAGGAAGCTGTTAAGCTTTGGCCACTGGGATCCTGGGTCCAGTGACCGTTGTGTTTTTCATCCACAGAGAACACATTAGCCTGGTTTCATAGCTCAGATTCCTGAACTAACCGTGTGCCCAGCTTCCTAAGACAATATGCTGTGTTCTGACAAAAGGCTGCTTTGGAATCTGGGCAAAGTAGTGAGTACACCAGGGTAATATCCCTCAGGAGACAGTACCCAACCTGTGCCATAGCATCACCAGGGCACACAATGGAGAGAGCGTCCAAGGATTCAGAGCTGCACACACAGACCTGGGTTCAAATCTTGACTCTGCCACCAACTAGTTGTATGCCTTCAGGGAGGTGATTTTACTTCTCTGGGCCCTGTTCCCTTATCTGTAAAGTGGAGCTGATACTACCCATGCCACAGTTTCTTTGCAGCAAAGAGAGCGTACACCATGCATCAAAAACGTACGCTCTGGAGGGGGCCCTGGGTGATTCAGTGGGTTAAGCATCTGACTCTTGATTTCAGCTCAGGCCATGATCTCAGAGTCGTGAGAGAGAGAGTCAGAGACACAGGCAGAGGAAGAAGCAGGCTCCGTGCAGGGAGTCCGATGCAGACTCGATCCCGGGACTCCAGGATCTTGCCCTGGGCCAAAGGCAGGTGCTAAACCTCTGAGCCACCCAAGGATCCCGAGAGCTGACCATTTAAAAAAAAAAAAATGAAACTGGGATGCCTGGGTGGCTCAGCAGTTTAATTTTTTATTTTATTTTATTTTATTTATTTATGATAGGCACACAGTGAGAGAGAGAGAGAGGCAGAGACATAGGCAGAGGGAGAAGCAGGCTCCATGCACCGGGAGCCTGATGTGGGATTCGATCCCGGGTCTCCAGGATCGCGCCCTGGGCCAAAGGCAGGCGCTAAACTGCTGCGCCACCCAGGGATCCCGGCTCAGTAGTTTAAATAAATAAATAAATAGATAGATAGATAGATAGATAGATAGATAGATAAATAAATAAATAAAATCTTTAAAAAAAAATGAAACCAAGAGTGGGGCAGTTGGGAGGTGGGCTGCCTGGGGGAAGTACTTCATTCCCATGCCTCAATCTCCTCATCTGTGAAATGGGTTGATAATAGTACCCATTGCTGAGGGCAGTCATAAAGATGCAAAAAGAGGCATCTTTGTGGGAAAATTAGGTATGTTAAAGCCAAAGGTTTCACAAACTCCTGAGAAAAGGGACATCTAGCCTTTGGATCACCCTGGGGTGAGGCTAGCAATGAGGGGCAGGCAGCAGAGGGAAGTCCACAGAGAGGGGGACAGCGAGCATGTGAAAACACTTCCACGGGTCTCATCACCTGTATCTGATTCTGGGGGTCAGAAGACGACACGGTAATTCTTTCACCTCCGGGATAATGGTTCTTGAGAGACAAGGTCACACAATAAAACTTGGATGTTTGCATTTGGAGCTTTCCTCATTGGAGTCTGGGGAATTAGCGGCCACACTGCAGGGTCGGGGGCGGGTCTAGACTTGATCCTGTGCCTGCTGTAGCAAATCGCTACAAACTGGGTGACTCAGAGTAACACAATCTATTCACTCAGGCTTCTGGAGGCTAGAAGCCCAAAATCAAGATGTGAGCAAGGCTGAGCTCTGTCCGAGGGCTCTAGGCAGGGTAGGCTCCTTCCTCATCTCTTCCAGCTTCTGGTGGCTCCTGGTGTTCTTTGGCTCGTGGCCACATCCCCCCGTCTCTGCCTGTGTGGTCACCCTGCCTCCACTGAGTCTTCATGGCTTCTCATCTGTGTCTGTTATCTCTCTCTGCTTCTTTCTCATGAGGACACTCTTGAAGTCCTGCCCAGATAATCTAGGCTAATCTCATCTCAAAATCCTTCACAACATCTGCAAAGATACTTAGGTCCTTTTCCAAATAAAGT